CCCAAAGTGCTGGGATTACAGGCTTGAGCCACCGCGCCCGGCCCCGTAATCTTTTTAAATGAAGAAATCCTGGTCCACTTCCCCAGGAACCCTATTTCTCTCTAATTCCAGGATTCTTGTCTTAACCATTCCAAACACCAAAAAATCTTAAGCAAACTTCATTCTACTAGCAAAGTTAACATTTATTGAGTGCTTACTCTGCGTTGGGCACTTGTAAATTTTACACATATACGAATTGAACTCCCCTAAGTCCTGGGAGGCAGATCGTATCGTCATTACCCTCTTATAAATAAGGACATGGAGGCACAGAGGAACTGGTTGATGGGCCTAAAGATCATGCAGCTAGGTCAGATTGAAGCCGGACAGTGAGTCACCAAGGGGCAAGATGCTTAACTGGCACGCTGTGGCCAGAAGTGAGGTGTCCTATTACTTCTCCCCTGCCAGCATGCAGCAAGCTTGAGGAGTATTCCCCATATTCAGGAGACTCTGCACCCCATATTGAATCCTCCCAACTCCCCAGTGAAGCCATTATGATCATTTCCAGTTTGGGGGGTTTTTTTGTTTTGTTTTGTTTTTTCTGAGACAGAGTTGCTCTGTTCATGGCTCATGTGATCATGGCTCATTCCAGCCTGGACCTCCCCGGCTCAAGTGATCCTCCCACCTCCACCTCCCGAGTAGCTGGGACCACTGGCATGTGCCATCATGCCCAGCAAGTTTTTAAATTTTTTTGTAGAGATGAGGTCTCACTATATTGCTCAGGCTGGTCTCAAACTCCCAGGCTCAAGCAATCCTTCCACTTCAGCCACCCAAAGTGCTGGGATTACAGGCATGAGCCACCGCACCCGGCCCCATCTCAATTTCAGACAAAAACACTGAGGCTTAAGGAAGCCGAGCCACAGGCCCAAGTCACCAGCCCGGAAGCGGTGGGGCTGGCCAGGTTTTCTCTGGCAAAGGGCTTTGCCCCTGCCACCACAGCACAGCTGTTTCCACACGACAGAAGCCAATACAACTCTTAATTTGACACATCCAGTCTCAATATAGCCATCACTGGGCCTCTCTGTAGCATGCCTCTCTCGGCCAACGCAGGTTTCTTCCTCCTGAGTGATGTGACCTCTGGTTCCTCCTGCTTCTTTGGAGGTCTCGGGTGGGCCCTCTGGGGTTCTGCCGGCTGGGCGTGGTTTCTTCCTCAGCAGCTTTGACATCATCCTCTCCAGACACAGCCAAGGCTGCTTCTAAGGATGAAGGAAAGCGGCGCTTGTCCTCAGCACAGCTGCTGAGCAGAACTGCTTGGCAAGCCCAGGGAGGCCACGTGGAGGAGTGGTGGAGGGTGTGAGTCAGGAGCCAGAGCGCCCTCACTCGGCCCTCTGCATCCCTTCTTCCATCCAGCAACTCCTTTGTTTTTGTTGTTTGTTAGATATACAAATAACATATGCACACCGTAAACAAACTTTTTGAACAATCTAGAAATGTGTAAAATAACAAGTGAATTTTCTCCTCTAGACCCTCCTCTAGATCCCACTCCTCAGAGGTGACTAAGCACTGGGAACACTTTCTGGTGTCTCCTTCCAGACCCTTCTAGGTATACACATGCATGTAAGCATGGATGTGTATATATGTATGTATACATATACAAGACAAAAAGGAATTGTATGCACACGTATATGGTCTTTTGCAATATACCTTGCACTCAGCAATGAATTGTGCCCGCCGTTCCGTGCCAGCACTCAGCCATTTTTATGGCTGCTTAGAATGCCATTGTCTTGATTTATCTCAATTTAATTATTCATTTGCCCCCTGCAGATCTCTATTGATGGATATATATAGATATATAGATATATAGATGCACATACACACACATACATATATACTATATATCTTATATATTATATAATACATATTTTTAATATATATATAAAATAAAACCAAATTTCCATTCAGTGAGCCAGCACAATCTTGGCTCACTGGAGCCTCAGCCTCCTAGGCTCAGGTGATCCTCCCACTTCAGCCTTCCTAGTAGCTGGAACTACAGACACATGCCACCATAGCTGGCTAATTTTTTAATTTTTGTAGAGATGGGGTCTCACTATGTTGCCCAGGCTGGTCTCAAACTCCTGGACTCAAGCGATCCCCTTGCCTCGGCCTCCCAAAGTGCTCGGTTACAGGTGTGAGCTACCATGCCTTGTCCACATTTGATCATTTTCTAAAAAGTTAAAAGATTAGGTAATGAGACACCATCTACTCCCTTGCAGGAGCTAGAACAGACTTGCATCTTCAGAGTTTCAAAATGCCAGGACTTATAATAGTAACAATAACTTTTGATGATGATAATAATAACCAAGAGTAATATATAGTGTGCTTTATTTTATTTTGTATTTTTTTCGAGACAGAGTCTTGCTCTGTCACCCAGGCTGGAGTGCAACGGCACGATCTAGGCTCACTTCAACCTCCGCCTCCTGGGTTCAAGTGATTCTCCTGCCTCAGCCTCCCAAGTAGCTAGGATTACAGGTGCATGCCACCACACCTGGCTAATTTTTTTGTATTTTTAGTAGAGATGGGGTTTCACCATGTTGGCCAGGCTGGTCTTAAACTCCTGACTTCAAGTGATTCATCTGCCTTGGCCTCCCAATGTGTTGGGATTACAGGAGTGAGCCACCACGCTCGGCCTATAGTGTACTTTTCAAAAACATGATCTTACTCAATTATATCACAGAATACCACAATTAATAAGAGACCCCCAAATAAATATACTTAAACTCATGTAAGTTTTATTTTTTATTTTTTTTTTGAGGCGGAGTCTCGCTCTGTCGCCCAGGCTGGAGTGCAGTGGCGCGATCTCAGCTCACTGCAAGCTCTACCTCCCGGGTTCACGCCATTCTCCTGCCTCAGCCTCCCGAGTAGCTGGGACTACAGGCACCCGCTGCCACGCCCAGCTAATTTTTTTTGTATTTTTAGTAGAGACGGGGTTTCACCATGTTAGCCAGGATGATCTCGATCTCTTGACCTCATGGTCTGCCCGCCTCCGCCTCCCAAAGTGCTGGGATTACAGGCGTGAGCCACCGCGTCCGGCCTTCTTGTAAGAATTTTTTAAAAAGAATAGAAGAAAAAGGATGGGCTGTGGAGCTAAACTGGGTAAGGAGAGAGAATAGATGGGGGTGACCGGCAGTGGCATTGCCCTGGGTGCAGTGGCTTGAAGGTCGCAGTGATGAGAACTGAGGGAAAGACTGGGAACTGAATGGAGAGTGAAGCCCTAGAAACTGAGATTGTAGAGGGGCAGACAATTCTTGATGAAGCCGGCCTGCACGGTGTGACGTGTTGGTGTGTGGTCGGGAAGGTGTAGAGAGGTGGAGAGAGGAGGTCGCAGAACTGAGCGGCCAAGAAATGGGAAGGGTCCTCTAGGCGGATATTGGAATCACCAGGTATTCTGATAGGGCCCATGTCAGAGTGACCGGGAGCCAGGAGCTCCTCCCCAACTAGCCAGTTGATCCTGGCTACAGACAGCAATTGTCAGTGCCCACCTTGGAGTCTTTCTCATCCTGGCCTCCACTCTGCCTCTGACTCTCCAAGAAGGTACAAGGGAGGCAGACTGTCCCCTTCTCTAGTGGAGAACCCAGCTCTCCCAGAGCGGGAGAGCCCTGAGACCATCGAGTGTTCGCTGCACTGGTCTCGCAGGTCATGGCGAACACATCCCTGGAATCCCTACTTGTTGGAACTCTGAATACCCGACAGGCTTTGGGCCCACTCTGGAACCTACCGAGGAAGTGGTTTCCCCCTGGAAATGGAGGGAAACCATTAAACTCTCTACCTGTTAAAATGCCCATCTGCTAAAGAGAATTGGTACTCACCAAGGTGTAACATTCCTCCAGTAGCGAGCGAGCGTTTCCTGAGCTCGGAGGCTGAAGTGAGGTGCTCAGGACAGACAGTGCCTGTGCCTTGGAAGTGTGATGTCAGGGTAGGGACTGTTCTCCCCATTGCACGCAGGACATAGCAGAGGCTCAGAGGTTATGTGGTTTGCTTGATAACTCACAGCAGGAAATGCAGAGTGGAGATTCACACCCAGGCTGTTGTGACTGGGGTCTGAGCTTTCTCATGCGTATGTCTCATCCCTCCCTAAGCCCAGAGCTCCTTGAGGACAGGGACAGATTCAGATCTGGTGTCCTCTCAGCAGTTAGTGTATCCCCCTGCCCAGAATCAGCCCTCAATAAATGATGGGGCCGGGCGCAGTGACGCACTCCTGTAATCCCAGCACTTTGGGAGGCTCAGGTGGGAGGATAGCTTGAGCCTGGGAGGTGGAGGCTGCAGTGAGCTGTGATTGTACCATTGCACTCCAGCCTGGGTGACAAAGCAAGACCCTGACTCAAAAAAAATAAAATAAAATAAAAAGTGATGATTAGTGACTCAGCCCTTCTTTCCCCCTGCCTCTCCTCTTGGGACCCTTCGTCCCTACTTCAGACCCCTCAGTATCCTCATGCAGCCCTTGGCCCTTCCTACCGCTGTGGAGACCAGTTCCTCTTAAAGGTGTTGTGGGTTGTGTTATCTAATTGACTATGAAGAGAGCTGGAGCCAGGGGTTCTACCCAAAGTGATGGCTGCTCCTCCTTCTGGACCTTCTGGGAAGAAAGCTGACCATACGCAGACTACTGTGGAGGAGGGGCGGTTCTGTGCCAGCAGCTCCTTTCGGGAGCCCGTTAGCTCTCACCCAGGGTGACCTGCCTCGCGTAAGGCAGGCGGTGGTCATCATGGGGCTGGCAGAGGGCCGGTGCAATGTTCAGGACAGCTTAACCCTCTTCCTCCCCTGTTGCCCTAGATCATCCTGAACTTCACATCCCTGGACCTGTACCGCAGCCGCCTGTGCTGGTACGACTACGTGGAGGTCCGAGATGGCTTCTGGAGGAAGGCGCCCCTCCGAGGTAACAGCACCGGCCACCCCATGCCCCCTCCATGCTGATTCCCTCTCTGAACCACCCTCATCACACTCTTCATCTCCCTCCAGGGCCCAACACTGGCCGGGGATGACATCCCGGTGTGGGAGCCAGGAGTCCTGGCATCATTAGTCCCAGCTAGCTGCGTTGCTCACTTGCTGTGTGACTTTAGACAAGTGCTGTCCTCGATCTGGACTTCAGAGTCCCCAATGCAGGCTTCTGGGCCTCCCTGTGAAGTCGGCTGTCACCCAGTGGGTGCAAGGAGTCATCAGAATTGACTGAGAGACAGACAGGCTGTTCTGTGCATCCCCGTGGCCCCAGGCTCTCTTCCTCATCTGGGCACTTTCAGAGGCTCCACTATTTTTTTTCTGTCTGCCCTTCTGGTTTTTGAGTGCCCACAGTGCAGCCTGGCTCAAAAGAGAGTCATCATAACCCGCCAGCCCATCTCCTAACTCACTCACTGCCGAGGGCTGCACAGTGGGCGCCGTGGCCCAATCTTGTTTGCATAGGATAGTTTGTCCCGAGGAGGGTAGGGGGCAGGAGGTGAGTCAGTGGGAATAAGTGGGTCAGAAGCACAGAACAGAAGGTGCTTTAATGAACCTAGAATTAGGGCAAAGGGAGGCAGGTGATCCTAGAGGGTATTTGCAGCAAGCCCGAGGAGCTGTATGAATCTCCTCCTAGCTGGACATGATCATAAGGAGCTCAGGACCACTCTGTGGGCAACAGAACCTCTTCTCCTCAGCCTGTGCCTAAAACAGCCAGACAGATCTTGCTAACCTCTATTTTCGCCCCAGTTTCCGATATTTAAATATTTCTTTTTGGTCACTCAAAGCAGCTGGCCTTACAACACTTCCTCTCGCAGACGTGTTAGTGTTTTTCCAAGATGGGAGTTTCTTTTTCATAACTTACATTCCTGGGCCAGCACCCTCTGTCCCTTGCTGAATGTTGGGAAACACCGGCCTTATTAGGAACACACAACTCATTCCTAGTTGATTCTTGACTACAAAGAATTCCACAGATGGCCGACCTCATCCACTTATGTTGATTCTTACTCATTTTTATTTCAAAGTGGACATTTTCTGACCTAGTCCCCAGATTCTGGGATTTATTTAGGGTCCTGGGGCATCCCTTGCATTTGAACAAATAAAAGCATGTCTGTGAGGGCAGTTTGTAATGTGTAAAGAAAACCATGTTTATTTCTGATCGTATTTCTGATTTTATTTCTGATTTGGTCTCTTCTTTGCATAGAGACCAAATAAGAAAAGGTAAATATGATGGTAATATGCTCTTTAGAAAGGTAAATAGAACACATATATAGTTGGACATTATAAAGATCTACCTTGGCCAGACATGGTGGCTCACACCTGAAATCCCAGCACTCTGGGAAGCCAAGGTGGGTGGATCACCTGAGGTCAGGAGTTCGAGACCAGCCTGGCCAACATGGCAAAACCTCATCTCTACTAAAAATATGAAAATTAGCTGGGCATGGTGGCAGATGCCTGTAGTCCCAGCTACTTGGGAGGCTGAGGCAGGAGAATTTCTTGAATCTAGGAGGCAGAGGTTATAGTGAGCCGAGATTGCACCACTGCACTCCAGCCTAGGTGACAGAGCGAGACTCCATCTCAAAAAAATAAAATAAGATAAAATGAAAAATAAAGATCTACCTTTCCTCTTAGAAATAGACTCATATCCTATCCCTCAAGTGGTCTCTGGCTCTCCAAAGCCAAGCTGGACCTTGGACCAGACAGAAGCCAACCGGAGGGTGTACAGTCTTGAGAATGTGTGAAGTAGGGTGGCCACAGATCAGGGCCCAAGCAC